GCAGCCCCTCTCACCTGAGGAAATCCTGCCTAGCCCAGAGCCTCCCCTCACTAGGGATCTCCTGGTAAGCAGCCCCCCCTCTCTCTCCAGGGGTCAGTGCCTCCTCAGCTGCCCCTCGCCCCTAGCCCCACTCCCATACAAACTCTGGTGCACCCCTGAAGAGCACACCTGTTTGCGGGGTCTGTTTGGGTGGCTTGGGAGCATGGCTCCCACCTGGTGTGGCTAAATAGGGATGGGAGGGGAGGAAAAACATTTCCTGATGCCCTACAACTAGCCCAGCTTCTCCTCTCCATTCCCCACCCCCCCTCCATCACCTGGCTTACCTTATTGCTGCTGCTGGCTCCTGCTGGCTCCTTGCCTGCAGGAGCTTTTTTGCTCCACAGGAATGCACATATAGACAGTGATAGGAGTGGCTGGGGCATAAGAGTGCTTTGGGGTGGGACTGCCTGCCAGCTTGCTCTGCGCTGAAGCACCTTTGTGCCCTAGCCAGCTCCTTTGCAGCATGTTGAGCTGGGTCAGAGCAGCCCTGGGCTGGCAGGATGATCCCCTGGGTCTCCTGCCAGCCAGGGCTGCTCCAACCCAGCAAAATATGCTGCAGTCCTGGGCGCATGTGTGAACATGGCACCCAGGAGCAATAAACTCCAGCATGATAAGAATTGGAGTTTATTGCTGCACATTAACAGCATGTGTAGATGTGCCCATTTTTTTTTTTAAGAGGGCCTTTCTGACCAGTATCTTCCAGTTATTTAAATTCTTCTTCCTAAAGTAAACTGTCACCAGGGTAGTTCTGGAGGCCTTCTATTGATGTGAATATTCAACTTAGAATTATAGTAAACTTGGGCTGGAAGGGACCTCCAGAGGTCATCTAGTCAAGTCCCCTTCTTTGAAGTAGGGTCATCCCTATCAAAGTATCCCATACAATATTTTGTCCAATCTATTACTAAAACTACAATCTATCACACAACTACAAGGCATAGTATCCTAACTGGCCACAGATAAGCAGGGGGACAATGGCAGTCAGTGTCCTCCTGCTCCAAGCATTGTTAAAAATGCACTTGAGAGGTCCAAGGAGAGGATCGCTATGGGCTCCTGGCTAGTCAGATAGACAGCCATGGTACCCATCTGGATGGTAGGAGACCTGAGATGCAATCCCTGCTCCAATGAATATTAAACACTCCATGCAAAATAGGACAGCTTTTACAGGAAAGATTGAGGAAGCCCCATTCTAGAATCCTTTGCAGCTTGGTGGTTAGGGCAGGTATGGGAAAGCAGCAGCCTTTGGAGAGGGAAGGCATGGGGTGGCACTCTAATGCCCTTAAGAAGAGGAGGAGTTTGAACCTGGTCTCCCATGTCCCTGCAAAGTGCTTTAATCAGTGTTATATCTGGTAAAAGGGGCTCCTCCTTTGTTTTGAGTGAGGCCTGATCCAATATGCCTCAGGATGCTCACCAGACTTGGGCATCCAGGACGATAGGCAAAGGAACATCCAGTTTGCAAGTCCCAAAAGGACCTAGGTATAACTTTGTCACTGTCTCTAAGTAGGCAGTTTCAGGGATGTGTAGAAGCAGACTTTTGGCATGAAGGGAACTTTACTGGCAGACACTTAAGACATCTCCGGACTTTTAGAATTAGGTGACAGCTGATCGAGGGTGTTGATGTTCTGAAGTTTGAAGTTAGGCATCTAAAGTGATATGTGAGCACCTAAATCCTTTGGTAACCCTCAGTGGATGTGTCTACATGTGCACTTTAATGCACAGTAGCCTATTTTACTGAGCATTAAAAACAGCACGTAAAAAAAGTGCTATTATGCTAATGCACAGTAAAATAGGCTATTGTGCATTAAGTATCTCATAAAAAAGTGTTTGCTTGCACTACTCTGCATTAGGGCACCCTAATGCATATTTATTTAGTACCTCATATTGGAGGTACTAAATTTAATGCATATTTTGAAAAGTGCCTTAATGCATGTGTAGACGTACCCAGTTACTATTATTTCCTGAAATACCTTGTGTTCTAGGATAAAGCCAAGTTTCTTTATGCATTTCACTTGCAGTTGCTTTGTAATTCTTTATTACTTATTATTTCTAAAGTAGCATCTGGAAATCCTAGTCAAGAAACTCTGCTGACTCCAACATTTAACAAGCCATAGTCCTAGTTTCATAGTTTCATAGTTTCTAGGGTTGGAAGGGACCTGAGCAGATTATCAAGTCTGACCCCCTGCCATGGTAGGAAAAAGTACTGGGGTCAAACGACCCCAGCAAGGTGTTCGTCTAGCCTCCTCTTAAAGACCCCCAGGGTAGAAGCCAGCACCACTTGGAAGTTGGTTCCAGATCCTAGCTGCCCTGACCGTGAGGTAGCACCTCCTAATGTCTAGTCTGAATCTACCCTCTGCCAGCTTGTGACCGTTATTTCTAGTCACTCCTGGTAGTGCTCAGGGGAACATACACTCCCCCAGTGCCTGCTGGTCCCCTCTGACTAGTTTGCAAATGGCCACTAGATCCCCCCTCAGCCTTCTCTTGTGGACGCTGAACAGGTTCAGGTCCCATAGCCTCTCCTCGTAGGGCCTACCCTGCTGCCCCAGATCATGCGAGTGGCCCTCCTCTGGACCCTCTCCATGTTGTCCACATCCCTCTTGAAGTGCGGTGCCCAGAACTGGACGCAGTACTCCAGCTGCGGCCTGACCAGTGCTGCATAGAGGGGAAGTATCACCTCCTTGGACCTGCTTGAGATTCATCTGTGGATGCATGACAAGGTGCGGTTGGCCTTCCTGACTGCATCCCCACACTGCCGGCCCATGTTCATTTTGGCATCAACAGTGATTCCAATATTCTTTTCTGCCTCTGCACCGACGAGAAGAGAGTTCCTTGTCTCAGTGGCAGATGTTGTGGCAAGTGCAAAGAGAAGATATATGTCTTGCATTCAAGGAACTCAGTCGTTTGGCAGCAGAATATGGAAAAGCCTGCCTGAAGCTGAGGTTTTCACAATTTTATCTAACCTTCTTTTTATCAGGCATACATTTTGAATCTTTGTTTTCCCAAAAGTAGCTGAGGCTCAAATTATACCAAGAAATCAGGGACAGTGTCTCAACTGACCTAAATTATGGTTGTAAATAATTACACTTATTTACATCAGAACAAATTAAGGATAAAGTTCCAGAAAGATTACCTTATTTGTAAAGGCATTCCTGAATTTCTAAATCAATAGAGGCCACTATTTCTAGCTCCAGTGACAAAGGAGCTAGCTGACATTAAATTTGTCCTTGGTGTAAGAGTTCATATTACGCATCCTGTCCCAAAGACCAGTTTAATTTCTGGGGGAATATTGCCTTTGGGGAAGAGGAAAAAGAAAGAAACACTTATCTGGAAGATTGTGCATTTTTCATTTTTGTTTTTTTTAATGGTGGCTGTTTGAAGCTGCTCAGAGATTTGGTATGTTAAAGACACAAAAGAGATAGCAAAGTACAGAGGAATCAGTCAAAATACATGGTAAATGCAATGTATAACATGGCTCTGAAGTTTATAATGTGCATTCCCCCACACATGGTAGTACACATAGCAATATACTGCATTGGGAGGTTTTCTAGTGATTAGCTGTTCTGCTGTATTTGGTCCTTTGCACTTCTTCAGCCATCGTAAGACACTATCACATCTTTCACTACAATTCGAACTACTTTATCTACCAAGTCTCACTGATTTTGAAATTCTATTGAAAATACAATAGACTTCTTAGCTACTGAAATAAATTATAAAGGATAAAATACAAAGTACAGTCTAGAACCACATATACAGGTCAAGTGGGAATCACTGAAAGTATCTATTGGCTTATATGGCAGTGTTGGAGTGATGTAGCTTGATGACCCAGGAATTATGTGAGAGTCAAGGATCTTTGTGGATGATATCTTTTACTGGCCCAACTGCATGATTGAGATAGATTTAGACAAGCATTCAAATGTGAAGCACTCTTCATCACCTGCTTATAATACCCCTCTGTTGCCTACACCAGACAGACAGGGTGATCTCAATATGCAAGAAAGAATGAACACTAAACTGACATCTCAGCTGCCAAAAGACCCAAAAGGCTGAAGCAGAACACTTCAACCTGCCTCGACACTCAATCGCTGACCTCAGAATTGCTGTTCTCAGGCAAACAAACAGAGAAAAGAAAAGAACAATAGGATAGCAGACTGTAGAACAAGAAATCATCTGCAAACTGGACTGTGTTAACTATGGTTTAAACAGGGATTATGGAGTCTTATGTCATTACCTGGATTAGTTTTTGTCACCCCCTTCCCTCCCCACCTTTGTTCCTATGGGTTCTTTGCTTGTATGCCTCTTACAGCATTTCTCCTCCCCCTTCCCACCTCCCTCTCCCTCCACCTTCCTTATCTATTGTATTTTAATCACTCACTACACTTTATACTCTGCTCTCTGCATGTTTTTTCACAACCTCTGATAAAAGTGAACTTCAGCTCCCTAAAGCTTGTGCTCTCGTTATATACATCTTATTTAGTCAGTCTATATTTACTTTGCCTTCTATTCCAACCACACATCTGGTCACATAAAACAAAAACCTTTGCTTCTCACATATCTGCTTGTATGGCCTTAATCCAATAATATCTGGGCATGAGCCAAAAATTAAAAAATTGGAAATATGCTAACAATATTTCTACTTCTTCCTTCCATGTCTTTGTAATGATACCTACATGTCGCAGGTTAAATGTTAAGATAAACGAAAGACCATAGCTTTGATTTTTATAATTGATTTTCCGCATGTGTGGAACATACATGAATATTAAATGGATGTTCAACGCTTTGTGCTTTGCCTGCACTGGGGTGAAATTCAGCCCTAGGCTAACAATGTACATTATGTGCTTTTTTCCTATTTTGAAGCTTAAATGGGGTGTAAATGAATGTGAATATTGCCTAGGCCTTGAGCTGACCCCTCTGAACAAAGCTGAATGTCACCTTGTTACAAGGAATTATATTTCCATTTTCTTTCACAATTAGTTAACACTGTTTTTATTGCAGCATGGATAATCAGATGAAGGCAATCTCTAGCTAGGCAATGACATCCTAAACTATTCACACTTATGAGAAAGAAGGGCAGGCAACTGCTCTCTGGGTAGGAGATAAGTGAAAGATTAATATCAAAAGGTCAGACATTTACGAAGATCTTTTTTGAGACTAACAAATAAATCCTCAAAATCTGGGTAGCAATCTTGTGAGACAAGATTTCTCATCATACTTGGCACTCCTCCTTGATCTTTGCCAAAAGTTTGGCTCTGAAGAGGTGATCAAAAAATGAAAAAAATAAATGTCAGTGTTAAACAATGCTTTTAGTTTCTAAGGTATTTGGGTTCAATAATACAAACAAGTCTAGTTCTTATTTTCTCCAGACAGTGTCACCAAAATGCAATCAAGATCTAAGCCAAAGAAGCACCTTCATTCTCTAGAAATCTGAGATACACATTTCACAAACTGATTACATATGCCACTATAACAACAGCTCATCTTCTCTTAGAATTTAAAGGAGAAAAAATACAAATCTATATATTGTTCACTATATTGGTAACAATTAATTTATTGTTGCTGACTGAAAGGAGTTCAAAATAATGAGAATAGGACTTTTAAGTATTCATTACATGAAAGGTTCCTAAAACAGAAGCAGATAGGGTTCATTCAGATTAATGATGTTTCAGATCCAATTATTTTGTCTTTTAGACTATTCCTGTTGGGGAGTTGCTGCTACTAGTTAATATTTCATCTGGCTTAGAGTTCTTGAATTTATAGTGTATGCAGAATTATCTCCTTGGATCTCTCAATGTTTCCTTATGCAATGTTCTAAGAGACAACATCAGTTCATTATTATGAATGTATAAAACATCTGACCAGCAGGTATTGGAAAATTGCATCTAGGTAATTCCCTGGCTCATGTAATAAACAAAGATCTTTTAGAATGGTTCAGCATCAGAATGCCTTCTTCTTAAGAAATGGAATTATTCCTACCTCATAGATTTAATGATCTTAACTTTTTTAAAGAGACAACTGTTAAAAATCCACGTCCATTTAGAGGTGTTTTAGCTACAGTAGAGAATGCTGGGTTTAACAGACAGCTCTGGTGCAGGGTACTGAAGGAAGTCTTCCACGTCAGTTGAAAAATTTTGAAGAAAATTCCTCTTGAGGTCTCTGATACTCACAAAGTGGGCCTGTGGAGAATGACACACCAAGACAGACACATGACCAAGGCAGTAAGATGGAAAGAGGCTCCACTCTGCAAGGCCACCTGCATTTTTTCATTTTTTTCTGCTTCTTTCAGTCCCTGAATGTCGTGATTCCAAAGTCACTCGCACAGTTTTGTTTGATGGGTTTTTTAACCTATTTTGTCTGTAGTCCTCATCAGAGCTATGAGCTAACGTGAAGCTTTATGTGTCATACCCATTCCTGGACAGGTCGTTTGTAATAGGTAACATTTTGCTGTACTTCTTTGTTTTTAAATTGGAAGATTGTGTATACCAATACAAGGATACACAGAGATAAAATGCAAGGGATCACTACTGCAATTGCATTTACAGTGTTAGGCACATCATTTATTGTCACCATAATATCCACATCATCATGGGGCAGGCGTCTATCTTTGCTTCGTTCGACTTCCTTTTGATTGCAGCCCATCCAGTCTTTGAGGATTGACCTGGGGTAACCTGGTTCCACACTCAGCCTCTGGTTATCAAACTTCCAATACTCCTTCCCTTTATAAAAGTATGTATAAACTAGAAGACAAAAGAGAGGTTATTTGTACTGTACTATTCAAAGCCTAGAAGCTGTATACGTACTGGTAGTCTGTCTGCACTCACTGTCAGCCTCTCAGAAGGTAGCAAGATTGAGGGGACAAAGCAAAATGTACAGGAGGTGCATTTCAAAATTACAAGGCAAGTTCTTGGATTTTAGAATTCGGAGCAAGCTCTGAAGGGAAAAATCAAGAAGCTGAGTTGCAGTTTGTTTGAAATTTCAAAATATGGGTCCTATGTGAAGACACGTTCTATTAAAGCAATAACAAATGTTCACCCACAGGGTTCCTATAATTGATTTCTAAGAGCTTGGGTCTTACACACAGAATTTTACCCAGCCTTGGAGGCAGACAGACTGTCTAACAAGGCCAATGGATGGTCACAGCCTGAGAATTGAGGGGGCACATACCATATTGTCTAACACAACAAGGTCAACAAGGACACAAAGGCTGGGAACAAAGGGAGTATATACCATACTGCCTATAACACAAGGTAGTGACACCAGCTGCAAGACCCTAGAGCAGCAGGGTTGTGGGGGGGACCTGAGTCCTGCTTCTGGGGCAACCACCCAAATTAGGAGAAGGCCCGAAGGCTACGTGGATGTGTGGATGAACTGTTATGAGGAGTTATCAGAAGGGAAGGAGGAGCAGAGACTTGAGAGTAACAAAGAGTCCCTCCCTGTTTCTTCTTGTCCCTCCCTTTTTCCCATCCCACCTTCTCCCCCACAAGACAGGTCCCTGTTCCTTTTCCCCATGAAGGGTCTCTGAGCCCACCATGGAGGACACGACCAGCCCGTCTTATACACCCCACTGGAGGGGGGCTGTGGGCCTCAGCATCCCACCTCCAGGCTGCTGACATCTGAAACCTAAAAAAGACAGCCTCAGAGTGAATCTTGCATCCTGGCCAGATGTATTTTGACTCTGATGACAGCCCTAGGATTTGGTAGGTATATATAATTGTTTGATTGTTTGTATTGAGGGTTTTTTTTATTTTCACTGTGTATTATTGAATTACCCTCTGAGCTGAGGGTGGGTTCCCCACCCCAAACAAGGTATCTGGATCCTAAATCCAAAGCCAACACTATGATTACAGAAACATTTAAAGACTCTGCGAGTACAGTGTCTAAATGATTTGGCAGGGTTTAGATGTTTGTTCTTATTTTTAATACTTTAAGTTTCATAACTATGGCCCCAAGCAGCAACTGGATAGGATCAATTTTTTAAGTGCAGCTTCTTAAGGATTGTTGAATAGTTAACAATTAGGCAATGGATTTTGGATATTCCCTGTTACTGAAAGGCCGGTACCTTACTTTCCCATATGACCCCAAAATCCTGCTATTAGTCACTGTTCTCTTAACTCATGGCAAAAGGTCAGAGCAGATCTCTGTCCCCCTTTTCTGAAATGACAGACCCACTGCCTTGAGGGATACCTGTGTCCTCTGTAAGAAACAGGCTGTATCCACCTGTTTTCCCTTCCCAGTTGTATGAAGCAGAGGAGGAACAGAATCAGTGGGAAGAAAGTGATAGCGATGTAAATATAATTTGCCATGATAGCATCCAGTGTCTTCAGGCAGAATCAGGAAGGGCTCACTGGGATGAGCACTGGGCAAACATACAAGGAGGCGGTGTAATAATGGCAGTTAGTTATGGAAAAAAGCATATGTTTGCATGGGGCAGAGAAGGTCACTGTTTGCTAGTAACTATGCTCCTTAGCCTCTAATATCAGTGCAATCTTGTGAAATGTAAGGCCTAAATCCCTTCTCAGTAAAAATATGTACACTAACTCCCAGGAAGCTTCCCTGCTATTCGTCTGACAACCACTTATAACAAAATGGGGATACGTACAGCCTTCCTTGCTGACAAAAGCTCCTTGTGGGGCCTGTGGGATTCCTCTCCACACAGTGATCGGCTTTGGGTATCCTGGGTCAGTAGCTCTCTTGTCCTCATTGTATCTCCAATACCTGTCTCCTTTGAAGAAGTAGGTTTTGCCTACTGGTTCCCATCGCAAAGCTGTGTCGATGCCTTCCCGTGGAAGAGAGATTCCCAGCTCCACTAGGCTGTGTGGGTACCCTGGCTCTGCTGTCACTTCCTTAAAAACCCAGTATTTATCTCCTAGGTAAGTGGGAAGAAAAGAAACACACACATTACTGAGATGCAATCAAAATCTAGATCCTGTTACTGAGCTTAGAGTTAGGCACACAAAAGGGAACATCTGTAAGAAAAATCACTAAACACAGAGATCCATAAACTGTGCCGCATAGACCTTTAGTGACCTACAAGAACTTACTGGTTGCCTGCAGAGAGCTGGCTGATCAGATAGTGCTGGCTCTCCACTTTGTTATCTGAGACAAACAGAAAGGATGGAGAGAGAGATGGAGAGCAAGAGCAGGCAAAAGTAATTCACTAGTAGAACAAGGCATTGACAGACATTACTAGAGAGGTGACAAACACCTCAAAATACACTTCAGATCCTTTATTTGTGTTTTTAGTACCAGCGTTACCAGAAAAATGTTGAATAGTTATAAATGGAAGAGGTGTCCATTAGGCCTGTGTGAAGTAGCTAGTATTCACTTCGGATTTGGCCAATCTGGGGGACAGTGATTCGATTCAGTGATTTAAATCACTGTCCTGAATTGAGCTGGCTGACTCGGATTCAGAGATTCAGCTGCTGCTGAATTAGCCGAATCTCCAAATCACACAGGCCGCATCTCCTGCCCATTCTCAACAGCTGCCCTGCCTGGCCCTGTGTCCTGGCTCTTTGAAAAAAAAAAAAGCCTGTACTCACTGGTTCCTGCCCAGCAGGGGGCGATCCCCGCTGCTCCATGATGCATGGGGGGCTCTGCCATGAGCCCCACAACCCCCACCTGCTCTCCCAGCCCCCCCATGGCTGCCCCGCTCACCCCAGCTCCTGGCCGTTTAAAAAAAAAACAAAACAAAAAACCACGGCTCACCAGTTCCTGCTAGTGGGAAGCGATCCCCACCGCCTCCCACTGCCCTGCACTACATGGGGGCTCTTCCATGAGCTCCCAAAAGCCCCGAGACTGCTGCAGGAGTCGGTGAGTCTGTTTTATTTTTTTAAAGAACTGGGAGCTGGGATGGGTGGGGCAGCCACGTGGGGGAGCGTCTTGGAGAGCAGGCGGGGGTTGGAGGGCTCATGGAAGAGCCCCCCCGTGTGGTGTAGGACAGTGGGGGCAGCAGTGATCACCCCCCACCTGGCATCACCCAGTGAGTAGGGTTTTTTTTAAACAACCGGGAGTTGGGCCAGGCAAGGCAGCCAATGTGGGGAGGGGGCAGACAAGGGATGGGGCCTGGCAGAGGTCCCCCCATGGTTCCCTCCTCCCTCTCCAGCCTCCCCTCCCCCACCCTGTACTTACCAGCATGGACGCTGGGTCCAGCTCCCTGCTGCAGCCCGTGGGGACTGCCCAAATTGCCGAAGCTCTCTGAATCTTTTCCAAATCAATTTGGAGAGCTTTGAATCGATTCAGACCTTTTAATTGGTCCCCTGATTCAATTTGGATCTGATGGCTGAATCTCCTCTGAATTGAATCAGCACCTGAAGCTTTGCACAGCCCTAGTGTCCATAGGCATTTCTTCACGCTTTTGGCATAACATGCTGAAACACATTCTCATCCTTATCTCCTAGCCCCCACTTTGCCATCCTGATTGGGAAGCAGAGGGCTAGGAGACCCTTATCTCCCAGTGCAGGTCTGAGGCTCTGGGGCTGGCACTGAGAGATCCTTATTTCCCAGTGCTGGCTGTTGACTGTGGAGCTGGCACTGGGAGCTCCCTCTCGGTAGGGGCTGGGGAGCCTGTTTCCCGCTCAGCTCCAGGAGTGTAGAGCTGGCTGGGGAACAGGCTCTCCAGCCTTTGTCCCACAATTGCAGAACAGGGGCTGGGAACTGTCCTGGTCGGGGGCAGGTCCCAGCCCCATGCCATGATTGTGTGATTGAGGTACGGGGTTTGGAAAGACCTGCAGGGGTGGTGTAGGTCCCAGCCCTCCGCCCTGATCCATCCATGGGGCAGCTAACAGCCCCACCAAAATATCAGTGCAGGGGGCTGGGAACTGTCCCTCCTCTGCAGCTCTTTTCAAGTCCCCTGTCCCTGACTGGGGAGCTGGGGCCAGGGGCTCCCTGCTGCCAGGGCAGAGGAACCTTGTCTCTGCCCCGGCAGCAGGCAGTACCCCCAGGGTCAAGGTGCAATGTTGGAGACAGCTGTCTCCTGGCACTGTGCTCCCTGTCAGCCCCTGGGCTAGCACCCAGGGGGAGCCTAGAGCTCCCCTTGGTGGTGACAGGGGCCCACTGCAGGTCCCTAGGAGCAGTTTGCTGCCAATAGCAGGAAATATGGTCCCACGTTCCTGCACAAGTGGATGCCTGCACAGGAGTGTTTACTCATGAGTAGTTTACTCATGAGTAAACTGCTCCTGGATCTAATTCATGTGTAGTGATCCAATGTTTAGATAATCCATGGATGATTTATAAATATGCCTGATTTATATTTATAGATTCATAAAAATCCTGTTCACAAACTATTTATGAATAGATGAAAGTCTGAAATGTATAAATACTGGTTACAAATAGTTTGAAGAGTAATATTACATAATGAAAACTCTTCACAAGTTAAACAGCTGGAGATTAATTTTAGTTTTAGAAAATAAAGTTGTGGATTAGGTGGAACTTGAGTTTTCTTAAAATCACATTTTCTCTAGGTCACATTATGGAATTCACAAAAGCAAGAGATCTAACTTTCAGTAACTTAAAAAAATTATGTCATTATTAATAAGAGGATTTCACTATTCAAATTATAAGGACTAACTAGTTCAAATTTTGGGGTTAAAGAAAAAAAACCATATTTTTGAATAATGTGTGGGGAAAAATTTCTGAAAACTTTAGAAACAGTCTTTCCTACATGAATTCACTTGTAATTTAGTTTTCAGGTTTGATTCTGCTTTCCAAAGCAATTCTTCTGTACACTCAGGATAAAAGGATTTTGTAAGTATTTGGACTGTGGTGTCAAATCACATTTGTAATGGAAACTGAATACTGTAGCAAAAAAGATGTGATCAAAGGCACATTTCTATCTCATGCTCCTATGATTTTATGATCCATAAGTTCTATGGTTACCACTTATTCCTGTTTACAATCCAGAATAACTTAATTTGCCATTTAAGAAGAGATCTACTTCAGGCTATAGGCATGCAACACAGAGGGTGCATCTACATCGGGGCGGGCAGTTATCTTGGGCCAAGGGCCACCTACCCAGTTCTGGCAAGCTGTCAAGGGCCGCATGGGTAGCCCTGACCCTTGACAGGTGCCCCGCCCCCTGGTCACTGTCTTGGGACCAATGTCTCAGGGCCAGCACTGGTGAGGCCCAGAGTGAGGCACAGGCTAGCAGGAGTCTGTGGAGCCAGGCTCGGCTGCACCAGCAGAGAGAAGGGAAAGCTGGCTTGGCTCCATAGAGCCCCTGCCAGCCAGGACCCTGTACCCCTGCCACCCTGCTCTGGGCCCCACCGGTGCTGGCCCCAGGACACTGGTACAGACCCCGTGCTCCCACTGACTCTCACATCTGCTCACTCCCAGTGCCCCCCCAAACCCGCAGTACAGGTTTGTGGCAGTGTGCAGCCCTGACCCCCTGCTCACCAGCAGGGAAGAAGCTGGTGCTGAGTATGGGGAAAAGTGTCCCCTCCCCTGCCCTGTGGCTGGCACTCCTTGCTGCAGCTGTTTGCAGCTGACATGGGGCTGTCCTGAACAGGCACAGGCGCAGGCACAGGCACAGGCAGCTCTACACGGGCTGCGAGTGGCTGCAGCATGGAGTGCCAGCCACAGCGTGGGCGAGGGGCTGCTTTTTCTGCATTTAGCACCAGCTTGTAACCCACCCCTGCTGCCAGCCTGAGCCTTGCACCAGCTCTGGGCTCACCCATCGGAGCTGCACCACAGTGGCAGCAGCTGCTCGGCCTCCACACTTGTCGTGCTGGGCAGTGTTTGCCACCACTACCTCTGTGCTGCCCAGTGCATGAACTCCTGGTGGGCAGCAGCAGCAAACACTGCCTGTTGCGCAAGCAGGGGGGGCCGCTTTCCTCCACGCTGAGCAGCTGCTTCTGCTCTGGCGCAGCCCTGACAGGCAAGCCCGCAGCTGGTGCAGGGCCCAGGGCCTAGGCTGGCAACAGGGGCGGGTTACAAGCTGGTGCTGAGCATGGGGAAAAGCGGCCCCTCCCCTGCCCCATGGCTGGTGCCCTGTGCTGCAGCCATTCACAGCCCATGTGGGGCTGCCTATGCCTGCTCAGGACAGCCCTGCATGGGCTGCGAGTGGCTACAGCAGGGAGTGCTGGCCATGGGGAGGGTCCACTTTTCCCTGTGCTCAGCACCAGCTCCTTCCCTGCCTGTGGTCCTCCCCTGCCCTACCTGAATTTCCCGTGCCAGAGGAGGCACATAGTTGCAGGCCAGAAGCCCCTGGTGGGGCTTCTGGCTGAGGAGGCAGAGCTGGTTGGGCCCTGCTGTTGCAGGAGCACGCCAGGGCTTCCCCTGGGTCCTATTGCCCCTGGCTCCTGTTATTTTTAACAGGAACCAAGGACAGATAAATATTAATTTTTAAAAATTTTTAGGGGCCCCACGGGCCAGACAGAATGGCCTCATGGGTTGGATCTGGCCTGCAGGCTGTATTTTGCCCACCCCGATCTATGTGTTGCCCTATGGCAACATAGTGACACGCTACATCACCGCATGGTGTGCTATGGCAATGTTGTGATTATGCAGGTCTACATGTGATTGGCAGCTATGTCACTGTAGTGGCGCACTCCCCTGGAATAGCTACGGTGATGTAGCAGCGAAATCTAATCACGTACCAAGTGCATGGCACACTAGCCATCTGTACAGCACTGTAGCAACGTTGTTGTATGGCAATGTGTAGACATGCTCAGAGAAACATGCCCTTTATACAGGTGCTTTTGTTTGGTGTTAAATGAATTCCAATTAATTATCACTTTGAATCCATGGACCTCTGGGCCAAATCCTCCTCATGTCCCAGAGGTCAGAGAATGACGTAAGCCAAAGACAGATTTTCAAAGGTATTTATGCATGGCTCATTTGCCTCATGGTACTCTCAAAGTAGATGTTGAAAAATAAGCTCCAAACACTTCTGTTTTGTAAAAAACAACCCTGGCACTGAAGTGGTGAGGATGCTCCTGGGACACTGCCACCGCTGCCACTGCTCTCACACACTGATGAATGGTGCTGGGGCATCCCTAGAAATTACTTATCACTCTAGTTGCAGGTTTGCTGTACCTGAAGCAGGAGGAAATGGGGAGAACTTAGTTTTTGGTGGCATTCTTGAAAATACCATAAGCAGAGGGGTACCTAGTGAAATTTCTAGAAGTGCCCAAGTACCTATCTCCCAATGATCTAATGATTTTACCAATATTTTAGGCACCTAAATATCCTTAAACAGCTAGCCCTGAATAACTGGAAATTAGGTTCTATGACTAGATTAGTGACCTGATTCAAACATGAGATGTAGTTCCAATCAGTTCAAGAATACAGGTGTAACAAACCCCTTTTTCAAACCCTGCACCATAAATATGAACAGTGATATGAAGTCAGTAACATAAACATACTACACCTTTAAAGAAAACAAATTTCCCATCAGACCTCTCATAGGCAGCATCAATCTTTGTAGGGAGGCCTTTCCAGAACTGTTCAATTTGCATGGGATATCCCTCCTGTACTCGATTGTTGCGCAGACGCCAAAACCACCGATCCTAAATGAAAAAAAATGACTCTCAATGTATCTGAATTTTTGTACATTGGATTCAGCTACTAATTAAAGTGAAGTGCTCCCAGGTGTCAGAATGATGGACTCAAACTCTGTGAAGTTGCACTGATCTTGAAAAGACATTTGCATTTTGGCCAACTTTGGCTAAATTTGAGAGCATACTTTCAATTCAAATGAAAAAGGCTAGGGCACTTGTACTAATGGTTACTATGCTGTAATCAGTGTGTGTTTTTCTGGGTGGGTGCATGTGTGAGGAGAGAGCTGCAGGTGGAATATGATGGCTTGAAAATGGTATTTTAAAGGTTTGCTTTTGGGGGTATTGGCTTATAGGTATACCTATGTCTTAGAATGGTTCAGGATGAGCAGCAAGTGTTAATTGATTTCTAAAAGCTTGGGTCTCGAACCCAGTTTTCTGAGCCTTCAGAAGCAGAAAGGCTGTCTAACACAACAAGGCCAACAGATACGCACACAGCCTAGGAAAGAGGGGGCACTGTTCCATAACATGAGATAAGGTGGCACCAGCTCACAAGGCCCTAGAGTAGGGGGCCAGAGGTTTCTGTTTTTGGGGGAACAGACCAACTTTGGAGGACCATGGTAAAGCTCCAAATTAGGATGTGGGCATGTGATAGGTGTATGAAAATGGGATTTTGGCTGACAACACAGGATGTGGACAGTATGATGAACACAGAGAGACCAGTCAGTGATACCCACAAATGAAGAGTCATCAGGAGTCAACAGGAGGGAAAAAGAATACAAAAGCAGAGACTTGAGAGTAAAAAAGGGGTCTTCTCTTCCCCAAGAGGGCCCTGAGAGGGATCCCTGCTCCCTGGGAGGGGTCCTTGAGGCCACCATGGACAGAGGGCACACCACCAGCCCATCTTATCTACTCCACTGCAGGGGATGGGCTTCGGCATCCCACCTCCAGGCTGCTGACATGCTGACATCTGATACCTAAGAGAGAGCATTAGAGTGAAGCCTGCATCCTGGCCAGATGTATTCTGACTCTGATGACAGCCTTAGGATTGGTAGATATATAGAATTGTTTGATTGTTTGTATTGTTTCTTTTCTGTTATCACTGCATATCAATACATTTGTCTATTATTGAATGGAAAGGTTGTGGTCGGTCTGAGGGTTAGGGAGGGGTGGCCCCCCTTCTCTGGAACAAGGCATCTGGGTCCTAAATCCAGAGCCACCAGGATGCTGGGAGGACAACATGGAGGCCAAGTGCATCCACATACTTACATCCTTGTTATCAACCTGTGACCTTCACTCCCATCCCTGGTCTTTCATTTATGTCCAAAGTATGTACTGGGCTTTGCTGGTCACTAGAGCCTATGAAGTCTGACAGATGCCATAGTGTACTGCTTGTATTTGTATTTGCATCCCATACTGAGTATATTAAGAAGCCTGTGTGCATCAGCACTCCAGCCATGTCATCATGTACAGATGTTTATCCTTCTGTATCTGCTGTACTAGCACTCCATATATTTCCATAAATGATTACTTATTTAAAATAATAAAGACAAACTTAGCCCCTATAAAAGCCACTGCCAGTTACAAAATACCAATTTATGGAATATCTCTTAACTATACCTTAAATATGTCTTGTAATGACAAAACACGGTCAATATGATCAAAACTTTTTACTGCTTGTGGTCCCAACTTAAGTGACATGTTTAAATGTTACCTTTATGTATAAGGCACACTGTTGGGAAAATTACAATATCTCTGTAAGATATTGTACTTTCTATTAATGTAACATAATCTCTATTTTAATTCTCATGGGGTTTTCCTGAAAATTTACTTCGCTTTTCAAACATTAAAAGTTTCATACCCAGGCATTTAAACAGAAAACCCCAAGAGAATGCTGCTGCATCCTACCATGTAAAAAGAGGCTATATTTACTTCTGGCCATTTCTTCTTAAATTCAGATTCATCAAAGCACCAAAGTAGGACAAAGGACAACATTCTGTTCCTTTCTGCTCCTCTCATTTCCAGATTGAGTCATCTGTATCAGGGGTTCCCAACCCCCATGCTGTGGCCTGGTACTGGGCTGCGAAGGGTTGGCTGCCGGTTCACAGGAGGGCTGCCTGCTGTGGACTGGAAGTGACTGTGGACCAGCAAACTGCGGACATACTCAATTTAAAAAAGGGTTGGCTGCCAGCCTGCAGTATGCCAATCACTGCTGGTCCACCATAGTCATTTCTGGTCCGCGATTTGCCGGTCCTCAGCATAAAAAAGGTTGGGAACCCCTGATTTATATGATCTTTAAGTGCCAACACTGCCACTTACACACAGATGGCTATTCTGGTCTTGGGTGCATAGCCCTGGTTGTGGACAACTATGTGTGAGTACCTTATGCCCCTAGACTGGGTACATACACTGGCAACAAGATCAGAGAGAATTATGCCATTCTTTCTCCCAGTATCTTGCTGGCTACTGCAGGTATGGGAAAATATTTGGGCCCACGAACCACATAGGGAGTTTTGTTGAGCTGTCACAGGCCAGGTCAGCACCCACCCACTGCTGTTGCTCACCAAAACTCCCTATGTAGGATGGGGCTGCTGATGGGTGGGGACCAGTGTTTGGGAGAAGGATGGGTGGGCTAGGCTGAGATCATGGGGCAGGGTCTCACGGCAGTGATGACATAAGGCCAGGCTGGTGCAGAGCTGCAATATGCTGCCCATGCGCCTGTGACAGGCACTGGTTCTGTAGGCAGGGGCATGCAGGGAGCAGAATGCAGCTGTGCCCTGGGTCCTGGCCCCATGCTGTCACTGCCTCAAGACCCTGGGGTCTCCCCAGCCCCAACCCTGCAACTTGCTCCTGGACTTCACTCCCAGCCCACCCTCAGGCCTGTACCAGCCTCGTGGCCGAGAGTCCTGCCTGCATGAGTCCCACCCCTGGCAGTGGGTGCAGGATGGATGGGCCAGCGTACCCAGGCAGCAGGGCTGGGTCTAACAGCTGTGGCACTAGGAAGGAGCTGGAGCCTGAGCTGCTGGGAAATGGAGGCCAGCTGCTATGCTGCCCCAGCCCCGCTGCACACCCAGGAGCAGTGGGACCAGCCACATGTACCACAGCCCAGGCTGCCCCCCACACCTGGGCTGGGCAGGACCAAAGGACCTGGGCTGGACAAAATACTTCGGTGAGCTGGATCTAGCCTGTGGGCCTCATTTTGCCCACACCTGGCATTAGTTAGGAAGCAGGAGGCCCTAGGATCTGCCCCCATCCCCCAAAGAGGGTTTGAACCTCAAACTCTTTGACTTTCCAGCATACTAACACCATATCACCATCGGCAATGAGCCAGCCCTGTTCTGGCAGTCCTCTGGAAGTTGGATCCCTTGGCAGTCGTGGGAGGGAGAGGTACTAGAGCCTGTATGTCTCAGTGATGTGGCTGCTGCCTTGAAAGGGGAGGTCTGGTTTCTAGCTTGGATCCTTGCTCCCTGTGATGGAGAAACTTTTGCTCTGCTCTGCTTTCCATCCATTTTTTCCTAATAGCTATGTTAGTGGCTCAGATTCAAAAGGACTGTGAAAAACGGGCTTGCTAATGGCTGACCTGTGGCAGAGTAGTTTGATTGCTTTTCTGGGACATCAGAGACACGCAGAATCAAATTCCCTCTGGATAAGAGAGACCTGGAACACAAAAAACCCATCTTCCCAGGTGAGTGCCACTGTTATCCACATGTGCTGAACTAGGTGCCCAGGAACAGAATGACCATCTCCTTGTACAGCAAAAGCTCTGTTATCTGGCACCCATGGGAAATGGGGGGTGCCAGATAACCAAATGTGCCAGTTATCTGAGAGGCGTTTTTGCCTGATAGGGCAAAGATTCCCCTTCCGCCATGTCCAGCACATCCACATCTCAGATTAACTGTGCCACCCCTGGTGTCAGTGTGCCAGAGGAAAGGGAAGGGGGCTCCACACAGGTTGCTTTCCCCTGGGCTGTGGGATTCAACAAAACCAGAAGTCCCACTTCTGGTTTCCCTTTTGCTGCGTCGACTGGCATGCCGGTTAATAGAGCATGCTGGTTAATGAAGTACCGGTTAACGCGGCTTTTACTGTATATGACATTTTTGGCACTTAGATAACAAGAACTGTCATGTAGATCACCAGATGTGGATGTTGAGATGACCAGAAAAGGAACAGAATGTTACTCCAAGTGTTCAAGGTCCTTGATCTGTCCACATAATCTGGGTGGACAGCTGGGCAGATGACAGAACAAGAAGCAACAGTCTTAAGTTGCAGCATGGGAAGTTTAGGTTGGATATTAGGAAAAACTCTCACTAGAAGGGTGGTGAAGCACTAGAATGGGCTACCTAGAGAGGTGGTGGAATCTCCATCCTTGAAAGTTTTTAAGACCTGGCTTGACAAAGCCCTGGCTGGAATGGTTTAGCTGTGGATGGTCCTGCTTTGAGCAGATGGTTGGACTTGATGATCTCTTGAGGTCCCTTCCTGACCTAATTTTCTATGATTCTATGATTCTAGTCTGCATTGCCAGAGAAGGATAAGTAGTGACTCTGACCCTAACTGGCAGTTGCTTTGTTGGTTTCAAAGGCTGTGGTAGTGACACAGCACTATGTGAAGAGAAAACTCAGTCTCCAAGTCCCAAGTTCTCTGTGCCTTTAAAAGCTTACTCAAAATTCTGCCTCAGTGTCCCTTATAATACAGCTTCCATATGAAGTGGAGTAAGAGCAGTAGGGACATGATGTACTGCTCCTCAAGGTAGCCAGCAGCCACAGAATTTTAAAGATCTGCAAGAGATTGGGCTTGCAGCTGTAAGGCAATGTTACAAGCTTGTGTCAGACTTGGCCATTTTTAAGAAGCCTGGACCTGAGCTGCATAAATGAGCTAAAGCAGAAGGCCTCAAAAGAAGCCTGAGCGACTGTAGTATCAACTTTTACAGATACAGCAGTTGGCTTGGTTAACATAGCAAAGGAAAGCCATTTGTATGTCTCATTAGACACTATCAAACAGAGCACAAGATGAAAGGAATCTGAGAAAGCAAAGCAGCCTTGTCAAACCATAAAAGGTGAGAGGGGGAACCTCCCCCTTTTGCTCCTTTTACTATCTCAATGATTTGTATCTTAACTAATTGACACTTTTTAGGTCCACAAGAAATCTGGTTTAATCCAGTTTTGAAAGTTTCAGTGAATCAAAGAAATTTAAATAAAACCAATCTGGGATTACATATTAGAATACAGAAATTATGTTTATCAGTCATGCATAAATACTGTATGTCAGCTTGGTGGGGAATTTGGAGATCCCTACACAACACCTGCCAACTAATTTGGAGAATCCCCAGCCTTTCAAGACTGAAAGCCTGGCCAGCTTTGCTTTGTGGTATTCAACACCCATCCCATAAAATTATGCTTTATGCTTTGCTATTAATCTTGCTTTATCAATTAATCACTAAACCTCTCACATTGGTTGGAATGACCCAAGGATCCATATGATTTTTTTCACCTGTCTACCCCATTTAAAGTTTGTTAACACAGCCTACCAACGAGAAGTCTTTTGACACTTACCCAGTCTCCCTCACATACCTAAGCCATTATGACCAACAGAACCCTAACTAGTAGGACTGTGTCAAATTTTGCCAGTGATTCGTCTCAAAGCTGTTTTAAGCTTGAAACAGCTAAATCAAAACAAAACAAAACAAAAGCCTTCAAAACAGCTTTGAAACAAAACAATGGAACTTGAAACATTTCAAAAGTTTCAAAACGTTTTTAGTTTCGAAGCCAAGGTTACTGGCTTCAGCGCTGGTCCCAGCCAGCAGCACCTGCCTCCTGTCATCCAGCAGGCAGATTGGGGGCTCCCTGCACCCCTGGGGGAGCCGGCAGGCCCCCGATCTGCCTGCCAGCTGACAGGAGCCAGGGGCAGCTGCCTGGGGCCAGCGGGGCCAGGGCAGATCAGCTTGAGTGGGGATCAGGGCTGGGAAGGGTCCCTACAACACCTGATCTGCCCCAGGCCCCCACCTGGCTGGCTCCAGTAGGGGGCAGGGGAGATCAGCTCAGGCAGGGACCCGCTGCCCTGATCCCTGGGTGGGGGAGTGTCCCTGCACCAGCTGATCTGCCTTGGGCTCCCATCTGGCTGGCTCTGGTAGCGGGTGGTGCAGATCAGTTGTTGTGGGGCCCTGCTACCCCGATCCTCAGGCGGTGGAGTGTCTCCGCACCAGCTGATCTGCCCCAGGCCCCCACCTGGTACTGGTGGCAGCAGTGATCCTTCTTGCACTGGTCCCAGGCAGCAGCACCCAGCTTCTCTCATCTGGCAGGCAGATCAGGGGCTCACACCCCCAGGATGACTTGGGCACAGCCCCAGCAGCCCTCCCAGGGGTGCAAGGGAGCCCCTGATCTGCTTGCCTGCTGCATTTTATGTTTCCCCATAATAACGTATGGGCGAAACATCGAAACAGTTTTGCTGAAACAAAATGGAACAGAGCTTTCAAAATGAAATGAAACTCAAAACAAAACACTGTTCCATCCAATCGGCAAAACAGAAGTCGAATTGGAATGATGCTGTTTTGCACAGCCCTAGTAACTAGCACCATTGTTGACCTAGGCCTGCATATAGCCATTAGTAATAAATAATGAAAGCAATTAGATACTGGAGTTGTTAAAAAATTACTATAACTCCAACCTTTTTTTTTTTCAAATATAGCCTCTACACAAGTCTTCAGTGAATACGAAGAGGAGATTCGAACTGGGTCAGATCACTTTACAGTTGCAGCAAAGTAAAAATAGATTGGATATCTGGAAAAACTTCTTCACTATGGCTGGGGACAGACATTACACATAAACTGGTTTAAGTGAGCAGAAACTAATTTAAACCTGTAACGGAACAGACATTCAGGGCATATAAATCAGTTTCAAAATGGCTGAAACAAATTTGAGATAAACTTGGTTGAATGTAGTATCAGAATTAACTGATTTAGGTCAAAGCAGTTTATGCAGTGTCTGTCCCAGAACTCTTCCTGGTTTAACTTGAACCAGAGTTCCCCAGCATCCTGGCATGCTGTTTGGGCTGGGCTCTGTGCTCTAGTCCAACAGGGCTGCCCCCACTGCTCTGCTCCCCAGCCGGACCAGGGACAGGGAGGAACAGGCATGGGCAGGGGTTTGGCCGGAGTTAGGGTTTAATTCCTCCCTCCCTGTCCTACTGGTAGGGACCTGAGCCAAGTCTGCTGGGTCCTCCCCACTCTCTGCTGCAGTGGCGGGCCTGCATGGCCCCTGAGGCAGAATAGGCAGGGAAGAGGGTTATTTTCGCTTTTACCTCCACTCCCCCTGGTGGACCAGTTATGTTTGCCTGCCCTGACTGCTGCTGCCACCGTTGAGCGGTGGAATAAGGCCCCGCATGCATGAATGACCTGTGCCCCCAGTGGCTGGTGGGGCACGGCAGTGCTGGTGGAGGCAGGAGCATGGGGGCGGCAGCAGGAGCGTGGCAGCAGTAAGCAGGGAGCTCCTGCAGACACTGCTGGTGCTATCAGTGGGGGGAAGGGGGACAAATGCCAACGAGGGGTCAGGGACTGCCCACAGATGCTGCTGGCTGTATCACCCATGGGTGCTGCCAACACTGTCTGGTCCCAGGTGGCAGCACCCACTGTGCTGATGCTGATACTTTTCATAGAGGGTGCACTGCCACACTCAGGGGGTGCACATGCACCTGCATGCACCCCCTACGTGTTGACAATGCCCTCCTGTTCCCTCTGTATAACCCTGTCCCTGCCCTCTCCCAGGGGGCACTGCCAGCCAGCATCTGGCTGCACCCCCCCAGCCACTGCAGTGGGAGGGGGCAGGGCCCTTGACAGTATCGGGGAATGTGAGCCCTTTCCTAGGCAAATCCATTGATTATATGACAGCTACATGTTTTCTATTGATATGTAAATGGTAAAATAACAGATAACATCTAGTTGTTTACACACATTAGTCTTCTTCAGGATGTAAACTGGAAGGAAGAAAACACCATTGTTAATATACAGTTCTTAGTACCTTGAAAACAAACATTTCTCCTCTAAAGAGAGCCACAGTATTAAAATTGCCATCACATATGTTGGGCTTCATGCCTGGCACAGACGGCCTATCACCTAAAGGAGGTCTAGGGGGTCTTGGTTGTCTCTCATGTTTTCTTTCTGAAGTGGAATGAATTCTTCGGACAGGAAGAGTTGGTAATGGTCTGGTGGGCTCCAGTGGGTCAGCAGGTGGACCTAGGAAATAAAAGAAAAATGGTTAGAAGGTGTATATTTGAATGTCTGTGTTTACTCCTAAGACATCTGAAAGACAAAAGTCCAACTGAAAATTCTTAATTCAGGGATTGAGTCATTCCTTATATACAGTATTGCAGACAAGTAAAAACCCATTCCCCTGACAGAGGAAAGCAGTAAGATAGGAACTTGAATCTAGCTGAGAATATCTGTCTGCTGTTTTCTGCAAGCCTAAGAGGTGTGCAATGTTTTTAAATAACAGCTGAATGAGAAGAATTTAAAATGAGTGTATACATGTAAATATGTGTTCAAACATGGAAGGATAAAGGGGAAATAAATAAACAAAAATATTCTAACCGCAGCCACTGCTTGATTGAAAGACAATAGCTGTTTACTGCCCCTATGGAACAGGAACAGCCAAGAAATGACCACGGTTCAGGAACGGCCTTTGACTCACTCCTTAAGTCTTCCTCTCTTCCTGTTCCTTCCTCTCTTTGCGTAAGATCTTTCTTCTTTAATGAGAAATTTGATAAAGTTCACCTGGATCTCCTGCCATTTACCTCTTCTTCTTTCTCATTTACTCTTTCAAACATCTTGTCCAGCCCCCTATCACAGACACTGAGGTCTTCTATCTTTTGTTCAGTCTCATTCATCCATTTGTCCATATGGTCCTGTTTGTTCCCACTTCTTTATTTCTATTACTCCCTATTCACATCATTCTTCACCTTCCTACACAATCCTAACCTTTTCTCTGATTTTTTCCCTCCCTCTCATTGAAAGTATGCTTGGTCTCCCCTACCCTCAAATAAACATCTCTCCACCATACCTATCCTCCTAAATGCTGACCTAACTTTCTCCTTCTCTTCTGCCCTAGAGTGAGTATGGATTTCTTTTCCTCTAGCTCTGCACTGAATCCCTTCCAATTGCAGATAGAAGTGACAATTTTCACCTGACCTGGCCACAGAAAGCAGTCTATAGCTGTGACCAAACACAAGTGCCCAGCTGCAGACATCATAAAAAATGGCTGGTTGGGTGAAAAACCTCATTACATGAGGTATCAGATAAAGATGTTTCAAAAAGTAGCATCTTCTGGAACTTTTGTCTGCAGAGCTCCTAGACTCTTCCTGTTTTGAGAATGAGAGGGGGGGAAGGGAGTGGAGGGAGCTCAATCTGGGGGGTTTTCAGCCTCCCCTGGAGGTGAGGTGGGTGTATTGGAGCCCCTGCTAAGGTGGCAGGGCTCCAGTTCACCCACCCCGCCCTTCAGCACCAGCCCCAAAAACAAGCTCTCCACTGCCTTTCCCCACTCCCACGCTCAAAACAGTGACACTGGCAGAGAGTTGTGGGAACCTGGCTGCAGGCTTCCAGCCCCACAGCTACATTTCCTTCCCCCCTGGAACCAACAGTGAACTTATCTTTGGTCTGGGGGCAACTTTGCAAAAATCATTCTGAGTTACAGCTGAGGACTGCACTTCTGTCTGCACCCAACTGGTTTCCAGTATTTTGACTCTACTGAAAGCCTTCTCATTCAGGTCTCTAATGATCCCTTCCTTGCCAGATCTCTGGCTTTTATTTCATTCTCAACCTTCTTGAGCTCTCTGCTGCTTTTAATACTGCTGTATCCTCACCTTATTATATATATGATCCTCACTGGGATTTGAAAAACAAGCCTTCCCTTATTCTCCCTCTGCTCTAGAGCACCTCCTTTGGTGGAGTCACCATCACTGCCTCCTCCTTTCACTTTCTGTTAGGTTCCATGTTCTTACTCACTTTACACCCTATTTCTAGGTTATCTTATCCACTCTCAGGGTTTAACCTGTCCTTTCTCTGCTGATTCATAGATTCAGAGTTTTGAAAACCAGAAGAGTCTTCCTATACATCATAGGCTAATAACTGTCAGTCAGCTACAGCTCTGCTGTGCCCAGCAGAAAACAGGGCAGAGATGCATCTGCATTCTGCCTGACTTCAGACTAACACAGTTAACTACCTTTCTCTGTATGGTGTCCAGTAGCTTGTCTTTGTGTTTGACTACACGCCACAACTTCTGGGAACGCATCCACGCATGACTTAAAAACAACAGGAGATGGAAAATCCTCCACTTTATTTGGGATTATTTGCCCAGAATTAACCATTTGCCAATTAACCACTGCTAAAGGATTGCATCTAATTTCCAGTTTGAATGTGTCTGGTTTCATCTTTGAACCCTTGTTTTTTGTTCAATTCTTTTCCATTAAAAGAAAAAGCCCTTGGTACCTGTTTTCTGCTTGTGAAG